TCAGCGGAGTAATCAGCTCTTCCTCCCTGGACCTTTTTTCTGCCTTCCAAGAGGTCTGACGTTGCGGCTGAGCCTGCTTCTGCCTAATCTTTGCCTTGGACTTTTCCTCGGTCGACACGAGCGACGCTGTCCGAGCATTAGCTGCCTCCTCTTCTTCTAGGCGCACAAAGCCATCGGCTCTTTCATTGAGTTCATCCATAGTAGTTGGCGTGTTCACTACCAGACTGGTGTGAAACGGAGTTCCACGTGTCATGGCTAACTTGAAGGCTTGAACTGCTGTAGAAGGGTGGCATTCGATCACCATACTCTTAGTGAGATTAAACCTGGTAAGAAAAGCCTGGAGACGTTCATCCTTGTGCTGCCTCATCGTGAATAGGCTCGAGATGTCTTTCGGCGGGCGTTTGTTCCCATAGTACTGGCTTATGAACCGATCGCACAGGTTTCTGAAGCTACCAATGGAGCTCCTAGGCAAATTTTTGAACCAGCTGAGCGCCGGTCCGGCTAGGCTTGTAGGGAAACATTTGCACATTAAAGAGTCGTTTTCCGTATTCAGGGCCATTTTCAACTGGATATGATACACATGATCGATCGGATCGGTCGTTCCGTCGAACAGAATAAAGACTGGCATAGCAAACTTCCTTGGATGCGGGGCATTCAAGATCTCGTCGGTGAATGGTGAATCCACCGTCCGAGCTGCGGATCGGAGAGCTTCATTCTCTCTCTGGAGTCCAGCGGTAGCTCTGTGAGTTACGGTTCTGCCCTCCGAACCACGATGAGTGATAGTAACCATGGAGGGCCGGTAAGACGGATCGAATGACCGTTCCTCTATGAACTCTCTTTGCCAAGGCGACGCTACTCGACGGCGATCAACCTCTATCACTTCCTCTCGGTCGAACCTTTCCCGATGCGGATCAACGTGAGTCGATCCTTCGTGATCTTCAACTCGACGAACATTTGGTGGCAAATTGTCCATCATCCTTTCATCACGGTGGTGAGCTGACTGATTGTTCTCGTCCTGTTCGCCTTGACGCGCGATATTAGATTGAACACCTCCTTCTCCGACCGGAAGTGGATGCGAAACCGTAGGTATTTGCCGATGTTGCATTCCAGCTTTCAACTCTGCATTCTCTTTTTTGAGAGCTTCAATCAAGTTCATCAACTCCTCAAGCTTTGTTTGCTGGACAGCCTCCATCGGATTGGAGCTTTCACCTATCATTATTCCTGAACGGAGTAAAGGCATTAATCTCAAGTTCGCGAGTAGATCCAAGCTTCGTGAGTGGGAATTTTTAGATCTGGCTTCTAATTCTCCGAATTATGCTCACTGTTTACGAGATCTGAATTGTCTGAACTCTAAATCCGTCAGATCCTGCCACAATCGAACAACTCGTTGTTGCGTAGATCTGAAGCCACTCCTGCCAAAGCTTCAAGAATTGTAATTCCTCCAGAGTAGGTCACAATCGCTCAGATCTGGATCCAAATCCCAAAGATCGAGTCTCGATCAACCGAATTGGTTTGAATCCACTCGATATTCCTCATTGATCAACCAAACTTCCATGCGATTCCCACAGACGGCGCCAATTGAAGATGCAAGAAATTCGTTCCCTCTTTCTCTCTCTAGAATTCTTACACTTCAACCCCAAAAAGCTCTTCCCCCTTTCCATTCCTTCTCCTATTTATAGATATTTACAAGATATTTACAAGATATTGACTGATTGCTGGATCTAGGCCTATTCCTCCATAAGTCCTGGTCACCTTTGATGGGCTTACTCGCGTTCGGCCCATATGGCAGTGTCTTTATATGGGCCGACCCAGCTGTACGGACCGAATGTAGTGCTTGCAAGTCGGATCCGGCCCATGTCGTCCTCGGCCTCCTCAGCATCCAAAATGATTGCATGCATAGCCCGTTCATACTAAATACCGAGATTGATCTTAGACTTTTTATTTCTGCAGCCATATCCACACCATGGTACAATCGCACAGCCAATGCCACGTACTACTTTGTGCCGTGGGAGGATCATAAATTCACATCCGACGAGTGGCAGAAGTCTAGTGTCACTGGCGAAAAAAATGTTATTCTTACTTATAAGAATATTCTTTTGTTCTTGGTTAGCATGGTAAAAAGAGTGATTTATTTATTTAATTTTGGCGTGGTGAGCTTAGTTAAAACATATTATCCATGTGTTAGTCTTAATCTTGATGCCAGACTATCAGGGATATATATTATTGCACAAATAATATTTGGTAATATTTGGGATGCCACTATTCATCTGACATCCACCATTATTTAAGTAAATAATATACATGGCTGGTTATTATCGATACTGTACCGTGCAACAGACACAACTAAATTTATAAATTTTTATAATTTTTTTATAAATTTATAGAGGTGGCGGGCCAACTTTATAAAGTCGTTGGGTAGCCACTTGTTTGTCTTATTTTGAAATGTCTTTGTTTGGGCCAATGATTGGTAGCTATTCATAGACTTCTACTCAATTCAATTTTAAAATATATTATGGTTCTTTAGATAAATGATATGGAAATTTAGGACGGACAAAAAAATAAGAAAAAAAAAAAAAAATCCTCTATTCATTGAGATATTGAAGGTTCAACTTCTCATGGACAAAGTAGAGGCCAAATTATTTGTGCAGATAAATTTATTTTTTATTTTTGAAAAAACAAAACAAAAGAATAAGAACCCAAAGCCCAGGATGGGTGGAATGGAGTGCGAGCCTAGGCAGACTGAAATGGGCCCTTATAAACATGAGGGTCCATTTACAATAAGAACTATCTCATTTTTTGTCTTTTTACGTCCAGTTAGTTGTATCACCTTCAGTTCGGCCTGGCAAAAGCCAACTTCCAATGTCACAAAACCTATTAGGCTCAGTAGCCCATTTAGTTTGATGGTAGGCCACAGTTGACCCTTGATTACAGAAGGCATAGGAAGCCCGGCAACATCATGTCTGATTAAGTTTAGGGTTGGAGTGAATGACTGAATGTTAATTTGAGCTCAAAATGCTACCGAATCAATCTTCTGATGTATGGTTATTAATTAATTAATCAATTAATTATATATATATATATATATATATATATATATCCTGGTAAGGAGGGAGAGGGTGGTTGAAGTCGAACCTGGTCCCGCAGGACTCATTAATCTTCTAATTTATGATTTATCGTTTTAAAGTTTTGAAATCTAAAGTATGATTCTAATTTTTTGTTACTTTGTGTCATCTTATCTTATCTTATTTTATTTTATTTTATTTTTTTTTATGAACCCCAATTGTACAAAACAAGTCTTTTGTTCGCAAAAATAAAATAATATTATTACATGAAACTGCAAGATACTATATGATATCACTATTTGACATTGTTACATAGTAATTATTACTCCGTATATAACCTACTTGGTCTTCAAATTAAACAGTTGTAACAATATCGTTTATCTTCCCTTTATCTTGTACAAATTGTCTATCTCTAGATCTTGATGTTGTTAAAAAAAATGATGATAATAATAATCTCTTGATTTTCTCTTGCAACACTGGCATATAATTTTTCAGAGAGGGGCCTAGTTGTCAAACACACGTTCATAGATGTATGCATTACAAATTCTCACTTGCAAAAGTGACCTAATCCAAATCATCCCCTTGCTTTAAGGGCCCAATGCCATGTACTCAACTTCTTGTTTGGTGTTTGGTTTGGTTTGGTTTGGTTTGGTTTTGTTTTGTTTTGTTTTTGTTTTTGTTTTTTTTTTTTTTTTTTGGGTTAATTGGATAAGAAATCATCAGCAAGTTGATCACTGCGATATGCAATTAGTTAGTTTTTATTTTTTATTTTTTATTTTTTATTTTTCAAGTTAAAACAAAATTATACCTATTATTCACATATTCTTATCGACTTAAACTCTCAAACTCCCATTAAGAAAAGAAAGGTAATATCATTAGGTCAGAATTCTTTTCATTCATATATAATGTTGGAGTTGTGAATAATTTGAACATTACCGTTATACTAGGAAGAACATTAAATATGAAGTCCACTAATATTTGGGCACTTATTAATTTGCAAATGCACAACTTTAGTTTACAGACTTCAGGCTCATCTTCGTAAAATATATTCTCTCTGTCCTTAAGTAGAAGTTCATGTTTAGAAATTGAAGTTTTTAAGGGGACACGCAATTAATGCATTGTCTCCTTTTAAAATTACCAAGTTATCCTTTTTAATTTAAATATATATAGTTACAAAGTTTGAAATTTTTTAAAAAGATAAAGGATAATGATGAAAATATAATGAAAAGATACTTTAACTTTTCAAGGAGGACAACTAATTTGAAATATGTAAAAATAAAAAAATAAATTACTAATTAGGGACGGATGGAGTATATACCTTTAAGTTTTTGTTATTTTGTTGTCATAAAATATTTATGTAAGAAAAATAAATTAAAATTTAACAAAAATAATTTTCTCATCATCTTAATTAAGTTGGATCTAAACTTTTGTCTAATACTATATATATATATATATATATATATATTATAGATTTGACCCATATTTCACGTTCTATAAGTGGTCAGTGAGACCCATTATTTTTTGTTTTTGTCTCCATTGGAGCACCAAGTTGAAATAAGAAAGAGACGCATAAAGATGGATTGAACGATTGGGTTGAAATAAGAAAGAGACGCATACCTAATATTCATGACTTGCAAGCTTGGAAACGGGGGAAAAGTCCCCACACCCTTGTCGGCTTGTTCATGTCTGTTCTCAAATTGGCACAATTTTAGCTTTGCCACGTATCCAAAATTTGTCACGTGGATCCATGATAAATCGACACATGGATCCCGTTGACGAGGAGATAAGCTGGTCCACGAAATACTGATCACGTAACTTTCAAATTTCTCAAGAGCTCATTCAACAGCTGCACAAACAAACTATTGAATCATTTCTTCTTTTACCATTCTCTCAATCCTTCAATTTTCTCAAGGGCTTATTCTGTTGCTGCACAAAGAAATGGCAGAAGCACTTCTGACTGAAATTGTGAAGAAGTTGGGTTCCGCTCTTCTCCAAGAGATGGGACTTGTGTGGGGCATGAAGGATGAACTTGACAAACTCAGAAACACGGTTTCCACAATCGGAGCAGTACTTGCCGATGCAGAGGAGCAGCAACTCACAAACCATGAGATTGAAGACTGGCTCGAAAAACTCAATGATGCATTTCTTGATGCTGATGACTTGCTCGATGACATCTCCACCCAACTTCTCTGCCGTCAGGCTATGACACACAACACGAGGCTAAAGAAGGTACGCCATTTTTTCTCTAGCTTAAACAAGCTTCCTTTCAGTAGTAAGTTGGCTCATGAGATTAAGGCCATTAGGGAGAGACTAGATGCGATTGCCGAAGATAAGAAAAAGTTTCACCTCACTGAACGGCCTATAAATCAGATGCGAGTTGAGAATATTAAGAGAGAGGAGACTTACTCTTTTGTTCGTGCAGAAAGTGTTATTGGGAGGGATGGTGATAAAATGGCAATTGTACAGCTTTTATTGGAAAGCAACGTTCAGGAACAGAATGTGTCAGTTGTTGCAGTAGTTGGAATTGGGGGAATGGGAAAGACCGCACTTGCACAATTAGTATATAATGATGAGAGGGTCACTAAACATTTTGATCTTAAGACGTGGGTTTGTGTTTCTAACATCTTTGATGCGAAGGTCATTGCAGAAAAGATAATAGGAGACCAAACACCTGAAAATCTTTTGTTGGATAAATTGCAAGAAAAAATTGGTGAGAAGAAATTTTTGTTTGTGTTGGATGATGTGTGGAACGAGAATCGTGACAAATGGTTACAAATGATAGATTTGCTAATGGGTGGTATGAGAGGAAGTAAAATTTTATTGACTACTCGTTCTGAGTTGGTTGCAAATGTTTCAGGGTCAAATTCACCATATTTTTTAAAAGGCTTGTCTGAGGAGGAGTCCTGGTCTTTATTTGAAAAAATGGCATTCAAAGAAAGTAAAGAGTCAGAGAATACATTTCAAGTAACAATAGGCAAGGAAATTGTTCGGAAGTGTAAAGGAGTCCCTCTTGCCATAAGGGCTGTAGGTAGCCTACTATACATTAAAGATACAATGGATGAGTGGGAGCTTTTTAAAAACAACGATTTGTCAAAAATAGTCGAAGAAGAAGATGTTATTTTTCCAATACTGAAGTTAAGTTATGATTATCTTCCTTCACATCTGAAGAGTTGTTTTGCATTCTGTTCCTTGTATTTAAAAGATCAAATTATTGATAAGCAAAAATTGATCCAATTGTGGATTGCAGAGGGATTCATTCGAGGGCCGGTGTATGAAAATCAGCAGTTGGAGGATGTTGGTGACTTGTATTTTATGGATTTACTTAGGAGGTCCCTTTTTCAAGATGTCCAAAGAGAGGAATGGGGTGATGTAATAAGTTGCAAAATGCATGATCTTGTTCACGATCTTGCGCAATTGGTTGCGAAGGCCAAATTTTTCATGGTGAATTTGGATGTAGAAATTGTTGATGAAAAAATTCGTCACGTGTCACTTGATTCCCGTGTAAATTTATCACAACAAATTTCAACCCACTTGGTTAAAGCTAACAAGTTACGAACAATTTTTTGGAATCATGGAAAGGTTGAAATTTTTAATAAATTAGCTTGTGAAAGAATTGTCTCAACTTTTAAAAGGTTACGTGTATTGGAATTGTATTCCTTGAGAATTGAGATTGTGCCGAGTTACATAGGCAAGTTAAAACATTTAAGGTATCTTGATCTCAGTAAAAATTGGGGTATACAGACTCTGCCAAGTTCCATAACCACATTGCAAAATTTGCTGACCTTAAAACTCAATGAATGTTGGCGTCTTAAAGAATTGCCAAGTGATTTTAAGAAATTGGTCGGTCTTAGAGATCTTGAACTCAATGGATGTCGGTCTCTTAAAGAATTGCCAAGTGATTTTAAGAAATTGGTCAGTCTTAGACATGTTGAACTCGACGACTGTTATGCATTGACTTGCATGCCTAATGGATTGGGTGAGTTGACGTCTCTTTTGAAATTAACGTTGTTTGTAGTAGGGTCAAATGGCCGATTGAATGAATTGCAAAGCCTAAACAATTTACGGGGAAAGTTAAAAGTTGTTGGACGTGGGGACTGCTCATCTGGCCGCAATTGTTTAAAAACAACATCAAGAAATGGCCTAAGCTGGACATTAGAGTTTCAACTTTGGAGAAGGGAAGGAGATATTGAGGAGGGGTTATTGTTGGAAGGCCTACGGCCACACCTGAATCTAAAGAAGCTGAAATTATTTAGTTATATGGGAGTGAGTTTCCCAAGTTGGATGATGGTTGACAAAATTGGCTTATCCCTCCCAAATCTCGTCAGAATTCATATAGACAGATGTCACGGATGGAAACATCTGCCACCATTTGGGCAACTTCCTTCTCTCCAATTTCTTGGGGTTGAAGAAATGGATTCCCTAGAGTACATAGACGAAGAGAAGCAACACCAACATGAAAATTCCTGCTTCTCTTCTTTACCCTCCTCATCGAGTAGAGCAGCAGCAAGAAGAAGAGAACCAACACCAACATCAATATTCTTCCCATCCCTGAAAGAACTCGAATTGGTTACCTTGGTTAAATTGAAAGGATGGTGGATGAGTACTAGTGAAGCAGAAGAAAAAGCAACAGCAACCACAACTTCTTCACCAGCCCAACAGCAATATCATCAGCTCCCATCATTTCCTTCTCTTTCCAAATTAACCATCCGTTACTGCTGTAATCTGGCATCAGTGCCTCTTCTGCAACCATGTCTTGAAACACTAGATCTCTGTGGGGTCAACAACAATCTAGTACAACAGTTAATGATGATGGTGTCCTCAACAACAGTCGAAGCGTCGTCCTCTTCATATTCTTTGCTTCTTCCTCTTTCCAATTTAAAGTCTCTGTCTTTAAGATTCATTGAGGATCTAGTTAATCTGCCTGAGGAGCCGTTTCGAAGCCTCACTTCTCTCCAGAAGCTTGAGATTTCGAGTTGTGGAGAACTAACCTCTCTGTCAGGAGGACTGCGACATCTCACCGCCCTCCATTCCTTGTCTATCAGCCTCTGCCATGAGCTTGATCTGTTAGATGATGATGACGGCATGCAATTTCAAGGCCTCAAGAACCTCACGCATCTCCTTATCAAACGTGTTCCAAAGTTGGTATCTCTTCCTGTGGGACTTCAACATGTTACGACTCTGCAAAAACTCGACATTTTGTCATGCCATGAAGTTTTATCTGATAGATGCCAGAAAGAAACAGGGAAAGATTGGCCAAAGATTGCTCACATCCCAATTGTTTCTCTTGATCCATATCCTTCTTTTTGGGTAAGACCATAAAACTTCATCTTATTCTTCTCTCTTCTTGTTCATTGTCTCTTTCTTTATTTGAGTTCAATTGTTTATTTTATGGGACAGATAGACGACTTTGATTTGTTCCATTCTACGCTATCCACTCCTGATGATCCTTCTCCTTATCTTTCTCCGGCCTACGATGACGACTCATTGTAATAAGTATACAAGATTGCACATTTCATTTTACAAATTGCAAGTACAACAACTTAGTAATTATCCTTTCTCTAGTCTCTCGTCTTTGTACTTCTTTCTTCCTCCTCTTCTCTTTTTGTTATTGTTCTTTGTTCATGTTATACTCTTTAACACGTATCTTTCAATAAAATTATACCAAGTTTGAATAGAAATATTATATTTTTTTTGTTGATTTTATTTTTTCCTTTTGATCTTATCAGGGAATGTCCGCATGTGTTATGGGGCACATTTGTTTTACAGTCTTATTCGTTTTCCTCTCCATGTGTTTAATCTTGAAGGTGAGACATTTCTAGTAGCTTAATTATTTTTGTGACTTTTATGAACCAGTTTGTGAAAACTTGTTTCGAGTCTGAAAACTTGCTCCGTACAGCAGAACATGCTCTCTCTCTATGAGCCAAAAAAAAAATGATTGGATAGATGAGTAGTCGTCTTTTACACTGCGGTGACAAGTGTGAGAATGCCGTTTCAAGCCTGCTTGGTGCAAAATAATGCCAAAGTTCAGTTTTGTCTGGTCTTTTCTCCCATCATCACCCTGAATAAGGTAACCAGGCCTAGTTAATGCCAAAGTGATTTTACTTAATATTAGGTTTATTACCACTGAAAGATGGAGTAGAGATATGACAAATATGAATATTACTTGCTAATATGGTTCTAACTCGTGGATGAGACTGCAGATTCCGATGGCTGTGTTTGCAATTATTCCCTAACAAGGGAAGTAAATAACATGTAAAAGGTTACTTTTTACTTAGTATTGTACAGTACAAATTAGTGGTTTTATATTTTACTCCCTTAAAATTCCCTTATCTAAATACCTAGTATCATTTAGAGAATGACAACATTTTTGTTTTAAGAAGATGTCTTCAGTGTCTAAAAATGTTAAATCTTTATTTAATTTCTCAACAATTCACTGCGTTATATTTTATTTATCTCTATGCTTTAATACAAATTTTTCTTTGCAGAACATCTAACAATTCACTAGTTCCGGTAGTGAGATTCATATTTTTGTGAGTCCGTAAAACTTGAGAACTTCGTGTGCACTACATTGGGTATGACACTAAATGGATGGACATATTTCTGCTTCTAGATTGCGCTATTATTGTGTTGCGATGGATCTTGAATGCTTAGTTGAAATGATTTTAGAATCCTGTCATGGAGCATGCAGGTTCACAGGATGAAAACTCAGAGGCAGCAGCAGTTGCTAGGGGAATGTGAATCTACGTGTATATAAACGCTGGTTCATCAAGAATAAAAAAGAATAACACTCTACATTGTTGATTAAGTTGTGCAATTATTTGTTCAGTTGCAAAGTTGGATTTGAGAATTTTCAATTACTTGGATTTGATCAAAAAAGTTGGATTTGAGAATTTTCAATTACTTGGATTTGATCAAAAAAATTATACTTTTGTGTTTTATAGAATCTTATCATGCCAATAGGCCATTTGGGATTGTATGAAATTGGAGTATTTGTGGTGTAATGTACTTCTGGAGGAATATATGTATATACATTTGTTTTAAGTCTAAAGCTACTCAACTAACTCATTCCTCAGCCTAAACAAAACCCTACTTTTGAATTTAGAAGATAGTGTCGAGCCCAGTAGCACAGGCTTGTGACCAAGCGAGGCATTAAAGTGGTTGGATGTCGAATGGTGCACACCCAACCCACCATGGGTTCGGTAGCAATCAACTCTCATGAATCTCTAGAGAACTAGATACATGAATTGTTAAAAAAAAAAAAAATTAGAAGACAGTGGGTACTTCACGAGCTACACTTATTATTATTATTATTTTTTATTCTAAATATAATGCAAAGATAAGCTAAGGAAAAAGTTCTAAAATTTTAACATTCAAACTACTTAAATTACTTTGGAATGCCTAAATTAAAAGAAAGAACATATCTATGCATACCTGTAATATAATGAAGTACAATTACATAAAAATGAAATAAGTGCATATGGCATTTACCTAATAAGATGAGTGCCAGAAAATTGGGCCGAATATTACATACGACACTTAGCCAAAGCCTGTTTGTCAAACAAATTGGACAAAATTGGGCTTCAAGTAGTCTTTGATTCAACCAAACTTGCTGGGCGTCCTATGCCTTCTGGATTCAACTGTCAACCGTGGGCTGGCTTCAAACTAAATGGGCTACTGATCTTTAGTTTTCTGACATTGGAAGTTGCCTTTTGCTAGGCCGAAGATGGTGATACAACCAACTGGACCAAAAAAAAACAAAAAAATGAGATGAACTTTACTTTTAATTTTCTTCCTTTTTTTAACAGACAAATTTTACTTTTGCTATATTTGGCAACACCGAATCCGAGTAAGCTTTCATTCAAGACTAGTCTCTCTCTTTTTCCAGCATCAAATGGTGGGGTAAATTGCAACAAAATCATACTACAGTTTAGGGGATTTCTTGCAAAAACCCCAATAGCTCAGGTTTTTTTATTTTATTATTATTATTTTTTTTTTGCATTTTATCAATTTATAATAGGAAAAACTACATATAGGTAAAGTTAGGAATCCTAAATCACAAAATAATCTATTTTAAAAGTCTATTTTTCAATTTGATTGATTTAAACAAAATAATTACAAATGTATCAAGTATTATTATTAAAGTCCCAAATACCCTCTTTGTGACTTGCTTTTTAATTGTTGAGCTGTTTGTTTCCTTCTTTAATAAAATTGCTTAAATATCAATATATATATATATATATATATATATATATATATATCAAAGAAAGTTTCCCAGATTATCTATTCAAAGTGATTTCATGTATAATTTGTAGTGAGACCAAATTTACAAATTTATGAAATAAAATTAAAAAGTAAAATAAAATAAGCGTACCAACAAAAACCTACTAAATAAAAGTACCAATATTATGGTGTAAAAGTCTAATTAAAGACACAAAACATTATTTGAAACATAAAAATTGTAATAAGATTTTATGGTGTACCAATATTATGGTGCAAGGCATATGATTTATTGTTGCATGCAATACTTCTTTCAATTCTTTCCTTAACTTTATAAAAAATATGACCATTGTCTTGAGAATGAAATATTAGTTCTTGCTATATTATTTTGTTGGGATCATGTGATATCCCTTGTGTTCTTAGCAAATAATATAGGTTTCTATTGATATGTTTATTTTATTTTTTTTGTTTTGTTTTATTCTATAATCTTGTAAATTTGGTTTGACTAAAAATATATATGAAATCAATTTGAAAACGTAATTCGGGAAAACTTTTTTTTTTGATGTATATATATATATATATTGATAATTAATCAATTTTATTAAGGAATGAAACAAGCACACCTAAAATGGCATATTTCTTGACAACCAAAAAACCAAGTCAGATTACAAAAAGGGTGTTTGAGATTTTAATAATAATTCTTGATGTATTTATAATTATTTTGTTTAAATCTACAATCAAGTTGAAAAATAAATCTTAAAATCTATCATTTTGTTATTTAGGACTCCCCTAACCTTACTTGAAATTTGGACAATTCTCATTCAGTTGGAGCATTTATTGCTGACATTAGTTAAATAGGATCATTAAATGTCAGTTATGCCCTTATTCATAATATATTATTATACTCCTTTCGTCCCAATTTTAGTATTACTTACACCCCGCGCGCGCGGGGACAGTAATTTTTAAGAGAACATGCAGGATATGCATTGTCTGTTTAAAAAATTACTAATTTGTCCTTTTAAGTTTTGAGTATTTAAATTTGAAATTTTAAACTCAAAGGATATATATGAAAATATGTGAAATATATTGTTTGAAAAAAATAAAGTGGACTATTAATTTGAGACAAAAAATAAATAAATAAATAAATAAATAAAAATAAGAAAAAGAAGAAGAAGAAAAATATGACACTTATTTTGAATCGAATAATATAATACAAAATATTCATTTGTTTCCCTTATGTCTCTTATTTCCCTTACACGCACAATATATATGGTTCTTGATATGAGTTACATTATTATACAAAATACACAATCTCTGTCTTTATGGCCATGACCGGTTCCGTTACACCCCTACGAAATCACATATGAACCGGCCTTGTAATAAACCGGCCGACAAACTTAAAATTTTAAAACTTAAATATGGGCCTTTAAATTAGTAGCCCAACAAACTTTTTGAAATTTAAAGATGGTTAGAGGCCCTGGAAACTTTAAAAATGGGCCTCTAAATTTAGAGAACCTCCTAGCCTTTTGGTTGATTAGGCATTGGTTTTCTAAACAGAATTATTTACACCTTCTATTAAACTTTCCTACGTGGGACAATGACTTGTACCTTCACAAGTTTCTGTTTATCTATAGGCTCATTCACATCCTCTTTGGTTAATTTCACCTATACACTTTTTGACGTTTGTCTATATTTTACTTATACCTTCATTATATTCCATAATTTTACATATCGCCCTTCACTCTATAGCCGTTAACTATAGTAACAGAGTTGTGTAATTTTACAATTTTACCCATCAATAATATATTACTAATATTTATAAAAATTTAGAGTTGAATGCAAAAGACTAAAACACCCTACTCATAGACAAATATATACACATTACATACACATATACCAATATATACACATATATAGCAAGTACAGGTGATGCAGTTGCGGTGAGCATGCCATGGACGGACTGAACTTCGTGTACAGGTAATGCTGGTCAGATCCATTCGCTGAAGCTCGACGCCGATTGGGTCATGTTGGCTCAGAGCTTCTTCACAGACGGAGGAGCGTCACCGCCGTATAGAAGCTCCGAGAGCAGCGGCTTCTGCCTCACATGACGAAGAGGAATTCACTCGCCGGAGCACCCGCCAGAAGCCGGTCACACCCCAAATGGCCACCGCCGGTGATATTAACAGACCCACGGCGCAACAGAGACGGCGAGCAGCGATTCAAACCCCCAATTCGATTCTCTAGCGCATCTATTATCCGAAACCCCAATTTGATTCTCAAACCCTTTCTTTTTTAGTCCGGCGAGCAGCGATTCAGTCATACGAAACCCAGTTCAGTGATTCAGTCGTTCTCAAAGCTAGAAAAAACTAAGTTTGACCAAACCCAATTCAGTCCGGCGAGCAGCGATTCCTTAACCCACCTCGGTGAAACCCAATTCAAAACTGCAAGCTTCGCCGGCCTTGTCACAATTCGCCTCATACCGGTCATTTCATTCCGCCAAACAGTCTCATCGGTGTCTTCCATTGAAGCATGCCCGCCGTACTCTTCACGTCATTGAGAAGAATCAAAAGCGAAGTCAATTCCTCCGCCGCCACCACTGCCGAAATGGACGTCGATGGTGAAGAATCGAAGGCGAAGTCGATTGCGGAAGACGACGCTGAAGCCCAAGTTGATGTCGGCAGCAGGTGTCGGATTACAACCTCTACGGTATGGCAATCAATGTCCCTCAGCGGCGGGACGTCGGATTACAGGCTTGACGGCGTCTTAATCGGCAGAGAAAATCAGCGTCTCATGCTCCGACGGGAGGGTCGGACCCAGCCCTTGCAGCCTCTCCAACATTGCACTGTTGATCACCACCGTCGGCGCTGAAACCCTCGATCGTGACTTTCTGGCTTACATAATCCTTGACCCTTGGCCAAACTGAAACTCTGGCCTCTCTTAGTCGACAAACCACTTTAAGAACACAACAATGGAGAGCTTGAAGCCAGCAAAATGAAGGACCAATTTGGGCTCCACAATTGCTTCAAGGGTAGAGAGAAAACGATGATATAACCAATCTCTGACCCTATAATAGAATTACATGGGTCTGTGTGTGGAAGGAAGAAGATGATATATATTTCTGACCCTAGAATAGAATTATATGAGTCTCTGTATGGTAGGAAGAAGATGATATATGAATATATATATATATTGAAGCGGAAGGAAGGGCATTTTTGTATACTTGAGTTAACAAATTAAGGGTAGTTTTGTAATTGCGTATTGGTGAACGAGGTTAAAGATGTCATTTTAGACGTTAGAAGGGCAAAAATGACTTTCTAACAATTTGCTGAAGCTGACATCAGCACGCATGGTGAGTTGCTTAACTATAGTGGGTAATTTGCTACACAAACCAAAACTTTAAGGGATGTAGGTGGAATTATGAAACGTAAAAGGGGTGTAAGTGGAATATAGGCAAACGTAAGGGAATATAGGTGAAATTAACCCTTAAAATATTTCGATGTGGGATACAAAGGGTGAGGATTTGCGTTCTCCGTCAAAACTTCTAGTAACCTAGAAAACAAAACCATCTGTGTAATTTCATATATGATATGAAATTTTATCAGAAAAATTGAAGATTTAGTTACGATTCGAAATCTACTTTTCTATCTTCATCCATGGATCCTTTATTCATACTCATTCAATTGGAAGTATTGATCCAATTCAAAAATTATGTTTCGAAATTTCATAATCCAATTTTTCCATTTTTAATGGATCCTTGAATACAAATTGCGAGAATTTAGATTTTTCCTCGAATCTTTTATTGAGGGGTAAAGGATTAAATCCTTTTGATACTCTCAAAATTCACCGGAGACACTAACCACTAGACTATCGAAGCATTTGCTATTCATTAATTATGTAAAAAGTGTTATTACTGAGTCTTTTTAATAAATAAATAAACATTGACTCAAATTCATGAATATATTATTACTAGTGTTAAATGATGTTAAAAAATTCATTAAAATTCACCCAAATTAATTAAAAAAATTATCTTTATCGAATTAAGTTAAAAAAAAAATCATGTATCGTTATATTTTGATCATTATGTGCGAGTTTTAAA